TGGTTTTCAGATTTCAGACCAGGGCTAGTCCTGAACATCAGAATCTCCTGTGATTCTTACTTATCAGGCTCTAAAAGGTTTTCTTGGCTTATGACCATGACTTCCTTCAATATCTTCTACAGTGTTAATAGTAACTTTTATTTTGTTTCCAAAGTTTTCTATTTTCTAGGGTTGGTTGTGGGTGGGGGAGGGGGGGTTGGTGACTAGCTTGAATTTGTAAGCTAGTCTCTAGTTTATATATGTCATCATTTGGACCAAATTGATTAATGCTGACATATGTTCATGAAAGTTAGTTCTTGAGACTGTAATATTGGGTTCCTTTTAAAATCAAATCAGCATATGTTTTATTAGAATATTTATAAAACAATCATATGGGTGCTTATGCAATGGTAAGAGAAGGCAAATATGTGTCACTGCAGCTAATTTTGCAGTAGAAGGTCATTGATGGGCCATTTTTTAATAGCCACATTTGTGTAATCAAAGGATTAGCTTGAATGATTACCATCAAATATTAAAAATTATCTACAAAGTATTAAATTTGAAGTTACAGGTTTTGTGTTACTACTTAACTTCCAAACAGTGGTCCTGTTGGCTGCTATATTTAAGTTCCTTTTCATCCTGATGTTCCTATGTGTTCTTTTCAGCAAAATCAGGAGAGAGAAATAGGAGGGAAAAGGTGAACCCATTATTTGGGAGAAGTGAGCGTATATTAAAGTTGAGGTTGTTAACAACTGTATCTCTCAACCTAGCACGTGCTGTGTGCTGTTCGCTGCTCGCTTCCCTTGCCCTCATCTTTCTTTGGCATCTGCTGAGCTCGTTGGCCTCCACTTGCCCCGTGTTCAGACTCTGTCCTCACCTGCCTTACTTGACACTGTGCTCTTTTAGACTTCTGTGTCTGTAACTGTTCCTTTTCTGATTCTTTAGAAAGCAGCACTGATCATTTCTTGATGCTGGTATTGAACTCTGTTACTGTGGTGGCAAATTCTACTGATAGAACTTCTGACATTAAACTTGTCAATCCATCCTTAGGTTTCTGGAGTAGACCCCGTCCCATGTGAAGCAGTGTGTGTGTGGGTGTGTGTGTGTGTGCGCGTGCACGCACGCACACACACACATGTGCATACACGTGTGTGTGTGATTTGCTAATACATGTCTTTCCTTAGCAGTGTTTTCAGCCATACTTTTAAATGAGGGTGGCCCATGATTTTCCTTTCTCATCATGTCTTTGTGAAGCCTTACTAGCAAGATTATCAGGATCCTAATCACCTCGGAACTATGTTAGGAAGCTTTACTTCTTTGTCTAATCTCTGAAGTAAGTTCAATAAAGTTGAGATTCCATGTTCCTTAAGGGGTTCTTGAAACTTACATGTGAAACTTACATGTGAAAAGGCAGTAGGCTTTTTACAATGACAAATTGTATGTGGGAGTTTACTATGCGTTTTGTCAGAGTGTTTGACACTGTCGTAATAAAAGAATATAATAACAATTTTTAAAAATATTTTTGTAAATGTTATTGTTATTTTTAATTTAAGAGAGAGAGAGCAAGCAGGGGAGAGGGGCAGAGGGAGAGAGATGGAAAAACCCAAGTAGGCGCCACACAGTGTGGATCCCAATGTGGGGCTCGATCCCACCATGACCTGAGCCAAAATTAAGACTCAGATGCTCAACCTGTTGAACCACCCAGGTGCCCCTTAAAAGATTTTTCAAAATGAGGGACTATGCATGTACTTGCAGACAAAAAGGGAAGGGGCCTGATAACACGGGAGATATTAGAGGAGAAAAGAGGTGATTTAGAGAAGGGGCCAAAGAGGAGGGAAGAGTTGGCATGAGCAGAGGAAGGGGTACTGATCTTGGCACAGAGGAGAGGGCACCAGCCTCTGATCTTACGGCGAAGCGGGGAGGAGAGGTGTCTGAGACAGGTGCATTCTCAGAGACGAGTTGATGCATTAGCTTTCTCCCCAGGAGTTCATGGTGTTGTGTCAGATAGAGGTCAGGTGACATGCAAAGTTGAGAGAGGCAGACCTGGAGGGATGCCCAGGAAAATCAAAAAGGAAGAGAATGTGCAGATTATCCAACTTTTATCTAATGTTAACCATAAAAATGTGCTGTTTCAAGGGGGCAGCTCTTTGGAAATTGAAATAAAGGAAAGGGAACAATTTTGATGGAACTATATGTTGTTAGCTTACTTTTCCATATCTGCATCCCTCCTTCTATTATTGGAGGACATTTCAGGAAGTAGTGTAGCCCTTCCTGTTGCCCAGCATAGGAGCCAAAGCCTGAAGTATGTCTCTTCACCCTGGTCCCTGTTGGCCACACCCTTCCTGTGGGTGGGAGGTGCATGGGAGGTGAGCTCTTGGGAGCTCATGGGAGGTGAGATTAATGCATGGGAGGTGATTTTCTTCTGATGTCTTTTCATGTCCTCTCTCCCTACATGTGGCTCACATTTCCACTCCTCTAACAGAAAGGTCAGCCCATGGCCCTCTCTTCTTGACTCCTGCGACCTACTCGTTGTCACCACCTTGGGTACAACACATGTGCTCAGCTCTGGCAGCTGTGAGCTTTGGTCCGTAGAGCCTGGGAGGGGCAATCAAGAGCCTGGAACTCCAGTCCTGGCAGGTCTCCTCATCAGGTTCCTCTCTGTGTGATGAAGCTGTTGTATTAAAACAACTCTACGTGCACTTCCGGGTCGTAGCCATGCTCCGCCATGTCTCGGGTCATTCTTCATAGAGGACATTCTCCATAGTTCACCTGAACCTATCATCTTTCTCCAAGACCCGGCCTTACCCCTTGAGGCCTGTGTGCCACTCTACATTGTTTTCTGCTTAATTCTGTGTCGGAACAATTTTGTTATCTTCAGCTGGTTGCCTTCCAGTTAGGTATCAGGCCCCTAGGACACCCCCACCATTGTTCCTCCTGCATTTTGATAACCAGCATTCATACAACCACTACCTAAAGTGCCTGGTGGTACTTTTAAAAAGCTAACATTCCTGCCCCCATTCTCTACTCTTTCCTGCCCACCAGTCGCCCATTCACATTCCTAAGATGCCTGCTTTGATGTGTCAAGTACTTGCCTGAGGACTTTTCAAAGCCTCTCTATCACAGATGAAGCCATGTCCGAACTTGCTGACCTGTGAGCTATATTTAAATATGCCTCTCAGTTAACCATCCCAGTGGTTTCTTGAATTACCATTGCTTTTTCCTTTCCCTCTTCTCTTTTTTCCCCTCTTTCCTTTCATTTTTAATTCTTTTCCTCTTGAAATCACTTACTGATTCTTGCTCGTCCATTCCACACAGTGATCATTGCCTCACGCATTCAGAGTCCTGCACTGTGTGCTGCAGGCACCCAGGTGAGCTTTGCAGACATAAGAGCCTTCGGCTCTGTCTCCCAGGAACGGAGAACTGATGGGCAAGCAGGTGGGCAGCACCGATTCTGGCCCTGGGGGCACCGTGGCATCCCACGTAGCTCTGCTCCTCTAGAACGTGTCTGCACCGTCAATATGTGGTCAGATCTCTCCTTTCTTTTACCGAGAATCCCAGTCTCCACTCCTTTCTATGTGTGAGTACTTCTTGTAACATTACAAATGCCTGTAAAGTCCTTGCATTCATAGATACTCTGCTTAAAGAAGATACTAGTGCTTGCCCCCTAACTGGATTGTGAGCTTCTGGAACAGACCGTTCAGTAACAAGTTTTTATAGCTCCAGGGCCTTGTACATACTTTGCTGTAATTTTTTTTTTTAATGATTTGGCTGTAAAATGAATACATTGAAATAAACTTCTTAAAAGGATCAAGATGCACATTACAATTTCAAAACCCAAAGACAGGTCTCTCTAGAACTCAACCCTGGTTTCCTTTATGCAGTGGAGAACTTCTGGTTTATGGCCTTTTCCCCAATAACTGATAGTAGAAAATTGCTGTATTTATCAGGCGGAGCCTTTTCTTGAAAATAATCCATCCCAATCACATCAACAAAGACCTGTGTATGGGACATATTATGGGATGTGGGCATATTTCCGTATTATATCTGTTTTGTAACTTTGTTGATGTGGCATCTGTCATGTGCCTGTTTAGTCAGTGTGATATCACTCAGAATAGTAAATCCAAGAAAAAATGACAGATAACGTGGCTAAGTGTCAGGAATAATGATAAGGTGAGGCACAACTACAGGGCAACTCACTAAGCATTTTTTTTTTTTTTTTTTTTTTT